GTGGAGGGGGAGGAGGAGGGGGAGGAGCCGCTGACCGTGCGACGCGCCGCTCGCCGCCGGCGAAGCCCCGGTCGCGATGCTTCACCTGGAAAAGCCGTCAAGGGCCTCCTTCGTCCGCTGCCCAACTCCACATACACATACACACACACTTACACACACGCTCACATACACACACACACACACACACACACACACACGACCACACTGGACTGTCGAGTGGGGTGAACTGAGGTGACGAAATTATTATAGTAATTTTTATTTTTTACTGATGCTTGTCACTTAGCTTAGCTTGATACTTAGCTTGTTATTGCCTTCCATGCGAAGTTCGATATACGCTCCATCACTTAGTTGGATCGAGAGGACCGTGGTTACGAGGGAAATGTGAAAACAGTTGAATTATGCTACACGTTTCCTTACAGAAGGAATTATGGAAAGGAAATATGAAAAGACAAACCGAGTCAAGTTAGCATCTAGTTAATTAGTAAATAAGTAAATCGGAATAAATAAAATTATGTATGTACCACGGACGTTAACTGGTTCTAGTGATCTCAGGCAACAAAACGCCCTCGGACCAAAGGCCCTCATTAGAACCCTTAAAATGCCCTTGGTGCATAAATAACTAATATTTAACGGATAACATTGTGCCTTGGCGAGCATCTGAAAAAAAGGTGTGTTTCTAGTGTAACGATTGATAATGGTTCTGTAAATGTATACTACACTACCTTTCTGTTTGTTTGTTTTTATTTTTTTATTTTTTTGTGCAACTGCGTGCAAACGTTCAAGTTCAACAGTTTGTTCGCTGCAACATGTATTGCCGTTAGCATTGTGGTGAATAGGTGTGTCAGCTTTTTCTTACGATCAGTGAAAGGATATCAGACTTTAAAAGTGAAATAGATGTATTATATCATTTATTTCATACGCAACTAACGATTATTTACATTTGTTGTGGTATCAAAACTTTACAAAACACATTCATATAGTGCATATTAAAAGCAACTTTATTGTCGGAGCCAATATAGCAATTCGAAGGAAAAAATAGGTTTCACGCTTACTGTTAACCCGTGTTTTTTAACATTTTTCTTCGTTTTTTGAACGTACTATTTCTAAAACTCTGCGAATTAATTATCATTTCCTTGCGAGTATTTCTGGTGCTGTAATAAAAGTCTCGTACTTTTCTTTGCAAGATATGGTAACTCCGCAAACCAAAGCGACGATGTTAATGTCGGAAACGTAGTATGCGTTGCACATTAAAAGAACGCGTTTCTCGCGAACACTGGTGCTGTCGATACTTTACTACGATGGAGTGAATGGAACTTAATCCTCGGCAATTTTCCCATAAAGCCCCTGCCGCTCGCCGCCGCCGCCGCCAGCGGCCTTGGGGACGAGGAGGACGAAGGGGCGCGGAATTGGTCGGCGACGGCGGCGGCAGGACGTGACCGGCGGTGGACGATGGCATAATGGCAGCCGTGACCTCGACCCCCGGTCGAAGCCAACGCCTCTGCCGCCGTCAGCGCTCCAACCTTCGCCTTCGCCTCCGTCTCTGCCTTCGCCTCCACTGTCAGTTCCGCCTTTGCCTCTGCCTTCGGCCTCTCCATCGCCTACGCCTTCACCTCCTCCTTCGCTGTTGCCCCCGCCTTCATCTCCACTGGCACTTTCGCCTCCGCCTTCGGTCCACCTTCACCTCCGCCTTCGCCTCCGCCTCCGTCTTCACCTCCGCCGTCATCTCCGCCTTCACCTCCGCCTTCACCTCCGCCATCACCTCCGCCTTCACCTCCACCTTCACCTCCGCCTTCACCTCCGCCTTCACCTCCGCCTTCACCTCCACCGTCACCTCCACTGTCACTTCCGTCTTTGCCTCCGCCTTCGACCTCACCATCGCCTACGCCTCCACCTCCTCCTTCGCTGTTGCCCCCGCCTTCATCTCCACTGGCACTTTCGCCTCCGCCCTCGCCTTCATCTCCACTTTGGCCTCAGCCTTCACATCCATTACCGCCTTCACCGCCTTGCAAATGCATTACCGTCCCATTTGTTTGAATGTAGTTTCCTTCGCCTGGCTGAAATGTATTAATTTTTATGCGATCATAATGTTTTAACCAGGATTTTATTATCTTACGAAACATTAAGAACCGTGCAATTCTTGCCGACGCGCCGTCAACCTCAACAAGTGCGTGCTCGTATGTGTGTGTGGAGGGGGGTAGGTAGGTGTTTGCATTTACTGCAACAACTTAAGCTCTAGAGTGGTTGCTCCCAAATATGGTACGAATGCTTTAATGAAACCAAAAGTGAGGCTCTTTAAATTTTGTTTTTTCTACAAAATTACAATAGATAAACTGTCAGATGGCTGCGCATGGTGTCTAGCGGCTAACCTAACCCCTCGTTGCTTCGCGCGCTCTCAAGCGGCAGCTAACAGAACGGCAGTTTCTTTTCGTGAAGAGTTTAAATTGTTCTATACGATTTAAGATCTTCATACCTTTCGAAAGAGAAATGTCTTTTTAGCAAAAAAGATCGTCATACCTTTCGAAAGAGAAATGCTACTTTTAGCAAACAAGAAACGAAATGGCAAATATTCGTTAGGGACCAAGCTGGAAATGGGAGAAGTATCTGTGCTCTATATTGAACATTCATTAAAAAATAATTAAGTTTTTAAATGTTTTCATAAAAAATTTTGAGGTAAAGGTGTGCGTTTTCCTCACTTCTTGGAAAAGTGTTCATTTATGTGTGTGTGTGTGTGTGTGTTTTGTCGAGTTTCTTGGGGTAGTTCGTTGCAATAATAAAGACCGGTCGTGTGTTGCGCAGTCGCTGGGCATCCTCGGCTCGCTGCCCGCCGCGTGGCTCATCCTGACGCTTCTCGTGCTGCTCATCTACCTGCTGACGCGCTGCTGCGACCGCAAGCCGCGCCCGCGCCACAGCATCGTCGTGCTCAAGTGGACGCTCGCCGCCTTCACGCTGCTCTGCTGGTGAGTCTCGGGCGCAACTCCGCGCTGGCGCCGGCGACCTCTTGGCCCCACACCTCCGACCCGCGCCACGCGCCACGTGCCACGCCTTCCGCGCCCCGCGGCCTGCGCCCTGCGCCCCGCGCCCCGCGCCCCGCACACTGCTCCCC